GGAGGGCATAGATGGACGCAAGCGTTCCTTTAGATATCCAGGTCCCAAGCCATTGAGGGCTTTATAGGTCATAACCAACACCTTGAATTGGGCCCGGACTTCAATCGGGAGCCAGTGGAGCTGACGGAGAACTGGGGTTATATGAGAACAACGCCCAGTCCCCGTCAGCAACCTGGCAGCTGCATTCTGTACCAATTGAAGTATCCGGACCGTCTTCAAGGGTAGCCCCTCATAGAGCGCATTACAGAAATCTAATCGGGAAGTTACCAGCGCGTGTGTCACTGTCACCAGGCAGTCGTTCTCCAGGAAGGGACGCAGCTGATGTATCAGCCGAAGCTGAAGGAAGGTGCTCCTCGCCACCGCCGTCACCTGAGCTTCTAGAGACAGCTCAGGGTTGAGGAGCACTCCCAAGCTGCGAACCCTGTCCCTCAGAGGGAGTGCAACCCCATTTAGGACAAGGCCCAAGTCCCCCATCCCGAGACCCGAGCCACCCACCAACAAGACCGCCGTCTTGTCTGGATTGAGCTTCAGTTTATTGGACCTCATCCAGCCCATTACCTCGACCAGGCACCGGTTCAGCACAGCCACTGCCTCACCTGGATTGGTGGAAAATGAGAGGTAGAGCTGGGTATCATCAGCGTACTGATGATTCTGCAGCCCACACCTCCTGATGACCTCTCCCAGCGGTTTCATGTAGATGTTAAAAAGCAAAGGGAACAAAATGGACCCCTGCAGAACTCCATGGCATAACTGCCATGGCGCAGAGCCATAGTCCCCCAGCACCACCTTCTGAAATTGGCCGTTGAGATAGGAGCGGAACCACCGCCACGTATTGCCTCCAACTCCCAATCCCGCTAGCCTATTCAGAAGGATACCATGGTCAATGGTATTGAAAGCTGCTGAGAGGTCCAGGAGAACTAACAGGGACGCACTCCCCCTGTCTCTCTCCCTGCACAGTTCATCGTACAGGGCGACCAAGGAAGATTCAATGCCATACCCGGGTCTGAAGCCAAACTGAAATGGGTCCAGATAATCAGTTTCATCCAAGAGTGCTTGGAGTTGTCCTGCCACCACCCGCTCTAGCACCTTGCCCAGAAACAGGATGTTGGCCACCGGTCTATAATTGGCGGCCACCTCTGGATCCAGGGATGCCTTCTTTAGGACTGGCTGGACTACCGCCTCCTTTAAAGGGGCAGGTACCCGGCCGTAACGAGGCGCTGACCACCTCCAGGATCCTGGTCCCAATCCCGTCCTTGGCTTTCTTAAGTAGCCAAGATGGGCAAGGGTCCAGTAAGCAGGTGGTGGGACGTACTTGTCCAAGCACCTTGTCCACATCATCAGGCCGCAACAACTGAAATTCATCCATTAATTGTGGACTCAACGGCGTCGATGGCGTCTCCCCAGTAGAATCTGGTTCAATAGCAGAGTCAAGCTCGTGGCGAATCTGAGCGATTTTCTCCCTGAAATGCTTGGCAAAGTCGTCACAGTGGGCCTTCGAGGGTGGCACAAGATCTTTCTTTGGGCCCGGATGTATCAGCCCCTGCAGAGGTTGAACCAAAAAAAAAAAAAAAAGGCATGGCAGGAAGACAAAAGGGTGTCTTCCTCATTTTTGCTCTGGCCCTGCTTCAGGCCCAACCATGGACATGCAGTCTCCACCAGATTACCTATGAAGGAATCTGGCCCTCAACAGAGAAGAGGGCACCACCCCAGTTTTCAGTGTTGGTAAAGTAATTGGCTTTAATATACTTTTATCCTATTATGTATGTTGCCATGAGTGTTTTGCCATAAGGCATTCAGTACACTGAAGGATCAGTATCTATTCTTTCCATTCATTTTTACAAGGGCACTGGGAAAACATCACTTTTCACATTATTTTTACACCAAATACAAGTAAGACAACCACTGACATGACACTATGTCATGGGGGTAATGCCTGCTTGGGGACCATTTTCTTCTGAAGACAGCATAGCTATTTATTTTATCACCAACTGATGAGGTATAGTTAAACCCACGTTATTTATCTCTGATAAGTAAATGGCTGCTAGAAATAGGGCCTTTATAGCGGTGGCACTCCAACCATGAAATACTTTTCCATTGAGGTCTACCTGTGCCTATTTTGCAGTTATTTCAGTGCCAAACATTTATTTCCCCAAGCCAGAGGTGGGAAGTTGTGGCCCACTGCTTGGCTACGAATTCCATCATCACTAACCATTGACTATGCTGATTAAAGCTGAAGGGAGATGTAGACAAAAACATCTGGAGAACCTCAAGTTGCCTATCCCAGCCTATTACTCTTAATATCTTCAATTTAAAGTCCTTTTAATGTATTTATCTATTTGTTAATAATTGTACCTTTGTTAACACCAGAAGCCATCCAGAGAATGTCAAAATGTGGTAAATAAACCTGCACACATCCTGGAAATATTATGTTCATGTAGTTTAACATTGTGGTTTAGGTTCAACATGTGCTAAAAGATATTGCACAGTATAAAAACATGATACAGTATCCAGCATGAATTCTGTGTCATGTATGAACAAGTGCCATCATGCCTGATCAAGCTGACTTCATGTTTGGAGAGGAAGAAAGAAAATATAATCATTCCATATCCCTCTTTCCATCTAAGCAGGTCAAATGAAAGCACCAGTCTTAAGATCAACAGGGGTAGAAGTGGGATCCTTGGAGGCAGAATAGTACCACACATGGAGACTCAAAGCCTGTATAATTATTTTCTAGTCTATGCATGTCATATGTGATTTTCCACAGTAGACCACAAAACTCCCCAAAAAATCCCATTGAATTATTGATGGCAAATGCACAAATAATCAAGCCTGCAAAGTTAAAAATATGAAAGTTGAGGTTTGACTGTATAATAGAGACTTTTGGACTGAGAAGGTACAGAATTGAAGCTGAGGATATAATACTAAGTAATATCCACCTTTATGCAAATATGGGAATTTCCAGGTCCACTGTTGAAGCTTTATTTATTTATTTAAAACATTTCTATGCCACCCCCATCGCAACAAAGCCTCGGGGCAGCTCACAACAAAAACATACAAAATCATACAAAAATTATACAGAAATATTAAAAGCCAGTGTATCTCGGCTTAAAATTTTTTAAAAATCCTACATAATAAACACTTAAAATAAGTTTTAAATAAAAAGGTCTTAGCCTGGCGCCGAAAAACAAATGACGGCGCCAGGCGGACCTCTCTGGGGAGTGCATTCCATAGGTGGGGCACCACCGCAGAGGAAGCCCTCCTTCAGGTACTCACCCTCCTAATATCATTCACATTCCTGGAGAAGGGCATCTGCTGCTGATCTCAGGGGGCGGGAGGGCATATATGGACACAAGCGTTCCTTTAGATACCCAGGGCCCAAGCCGTTGAGGGCTTTATAGGTCATAACCAACACCTTGAATTGGGCCCGGACTTCAATCGGGAGCCAGTGGAGCTGACGAAGAACTGGGGTTATATGAGAACAATGCCCAGTCCCAGTCAGCAGCCTGGCAGCTCTATTCTGCACCAATTGAAGTATCTGGACCGTCTTCAAGGGTAGCCCCACGTAAAGCACATTGCAGAAATCTAATCGGGAAATTACCAGCGTGTGTGTCACAGTCGCCAGGCAATCGTTCTCCAGGAAGGGACGCAGCTGATGGATCAGCCGAAGCTGAAGGAAAGTGCTCCTCGCCACCGCCATCACCTGGGCTTCTAAGGACAGCTCAGGGTCAAGGAGCACTCCTAAGCTACGAACCCTGTCCCTCAGAGGGAGTGCAACCCCATTTAGGACAAAGCCCAAGTCCCCCATCCCGTGGCCCGAGCCACCCACCAACAGGACCTCTGTCTTTTCTGGATTGAGCTTCAGTTTATCGGCCCTCATCCAGCCCATTACCTCGACCAGGCACTGGTTCAGCACAGCCACTGCCTCACCTGGATTGGTGGAAAACGAGAGGTAGAGCTGGGTATCATCAGCGTACTGATGATTCCACAGCCCACACCTTCTCATGACTTCTCCCAGCGGTTTCATGTAGACGTTGAACAGCAAGAGGGACAAAATGGACCCCTGCGGAACTCCATGGCATAAGTGCCATGGCACAGAGCCATAGTCCCCCAGCACCACCTTCTGAAATCGGCCGTTGAGATAGGAACAGAACCATCGCCACATGGTGCCTCCAACTCCCAATCCCGCCAGCCTATTCAGAAGGATACCATGGTCGATGGTATCGAAAGCTGCTGAGAGGTCCAGGAGGACTAACAGGGACGCACTCCCCGTCTCTCTCCCTGCACAGTTCATCGTACAGGGCGACCAAGGCAGATTCAGTGCCGTACCCGGGTCTGAAGCCAGACTGAAATGGGTCCAGATAATCAGTTTCATCCAAGAATCAACAGAAAAGTGAGAAGTTCAATTTGACCTTTTTAACACTCTGTGGCGGTAAACAGGAAATTATTTTTGCCTTCATAGGATGCCAACAAATGTCTGCAGGGGGTCCAGGGAAGCACCAGACTTCCCCACAATTGCCTGACCATTTTAAGTAATATACAATAAATTATGGATTATGAATTAGAAGTAAATCCTGTTTCTATACTTTGAAGCATATCAAAGATCAGCTGCCAACAGAATATACCGTGCTGCTGCTGTGTATGTTGATTGCAACATGAATCTTATTGCTAAAGGATTCCTATACCATCATTTGATCAATGGAAAAAGAAGTTATGAACCATTATGCTCATCAATAAAAATTACCAGTTACAAACTGTTCTGCAACAGACAGATAAACTATGTTTAAAACAGAGTTCAAAACTCGATTCATTTATTAGTTTCCAAGAAGGTATAGATCTGATGAATTCGTGATTTTGGATACTGAATGCAAGATAAATATTTTCAGAATATAAAACAAATGTTTAAAAAACTTCAGGAGAGGTAGGATTCTAAACATTTCATGGAACATAAAGTTTGCATCACATGTACATGTTCAAAGTTAGAGCAAAATTGAAGTCACCAATGTTGCTTGAAAAGGCTTTATTATTTTCCAATTTATAGTATTAACACAAAGAGAAAGTAAACCATGGTTATTTTTAAACTAAACAGAACTGTCAAATCTTCTGTAGTGGTGCATATGCAGTATCTTTAGACATTATACTAGGAACAAAGAAGGGACATAGTTAATATTTAGGCATAGATGCTATGCTTAAACTGTACTTGATAAAAACACACGTTAAAATGAGAATGCTGTTCACTGATCAGGACACCAATTTATGATTCTACTAATGCTATGTTATTTTGTGTAACGATCAGTTAGGAAAGCATTTCAAAAATGCTCAGAGTTAAAGCTTAATGCTTCTGCATAATTTTAAAAGAGAGATGTTATCAAGCAGATTAGGGCTTCTGCTAGTAAGAGAACATGAACATGGGGGTGTGAGGATGAGAGAGGCAGAAAGACAACAACATGCAGTGAAGGGAAGATTCTATGTCAGACTATGTGCCAGTACACACCACATTTTTCCTACATGGAGACAATCTCATATTGCAGGAGAGAAAAGGTGTAAAATTGAATTGTATACGAAGAACATGCAAGGCCCTGTTTCACTGTGGGCATGCCGTCTGTGAAGGAACAAACTGTACAATGTAGCTTCCAAACAAAGGCATTCACAGGGAACATTGTAAGAAGTCAGGACAGTCTTATAAAAACACTGCAAAGATACTATTTCAGAAAGGAAAAGAGAACAGGAAAGTAAAGTGGTTTTGGCCTCTGTGCTGGTAAGACTGTCAAAAAGTTATTTTCTAGTCAGTAATTTTAAGTCTAATATTTTAAAGAAAAATAATCTCCACCTTAGTGTAATTAAATGTGTGCTTAACATTTTAAGATGGAAATTAATGCCAGAGCCAAGTCTATAAAACTTAACAGGCTTCCTGTTTCAAAATGTTTGCAAATGTAAGGCTTGAAGTCAGCAAAGCATGATTGGCAGTTGTTCCCTTAAGCACCATTATATTAATGCATACTTGGAATTATTAGTATTAAAAGGAAATTAAAAAGGTGATGGTGTGAAATGTAGCCAAAGGTATTAACTTTGCTTACCAGATCAAGCACATGGCATTCTTACACATTATTTTGTAAAGCAACAAAATGATTAATAGTAGGAAAAAATTGCAGCAAAGAACACCCAAGAGGTATTTTTACATACAGTTGGATTGTTTGGAGGAGACTTAAATGGAGGAGACCAAATAATTGCAACATGTGACATTCCAGTCTAACATACTCTGTATATCACAAGTGCTCTGATCTGGTTTGAAAACAAAAGCTTAAATACCCTTTGATGGGCCAATGAATTTCCCCTCACACAGACCCTTAAAAAAATAATCCTGAAGCACTGTGATAAATACTGAGATCAATTGAAAGTCCACTGCTGGTACAAGCCTGTACTGACTGCGTTGAGTATTGGACTGGCCAGTGAGTGTTACTGGAATGTTTACTGTTGTGAAAATCTGACTGGGCTATTTAATGGTTTTTGCAAAAGATTTCTACCAGCTTCCAATTCTTTAGACTTTTACTTTGAAGAGGTGCAGTGCAACATCGGTTTCTTGAGTTCACGACCGATACATCTCCATGAAGCTTCTCATGAAGGCTGCTAACTTTTGAACATCTTCTATAGTCACAGCATTATACAAAGAAGCGCGGATGCCTCCAACAGATCTGAAATGTGAGGTGACAGGTATAGTTGGACAGTTCTACAAGCACATTGTATCTATCTGCACACCAGAACATTTGCTTATGTGAACAAGAATGCATTTCTAATGTGAAAGAATACATCATTTCTAAAGACAGCAGCATTTCCATATTGCATCTGTATAGGAACAAAAAAGCAGCATTCAACACTACAAAAGGGGAGCAAAAACCACTGCAGTGCCAAGAGCGAAGCATGGGAAAGAGCACATGGGAAGAACGGTAACAAGGGACATTTATGCTGGATCAAACTTATTCTAAATGTCCACTTTGGAAAAATAACAGATGTCAACAGTAAAGTGACTCCAACAGCCTGTTTCATCCTAAGAAGCAGGTCCAAGGAGCCCCGGTGCAAGACGCAAAGGAAATAAAACTCTTGATAGTGCACAGAAAGGACCATACCTGCCTGTTGCATAAATTATAGTACCATAAATAATTAGGATTGAGCTAGAAAGGCATGATATACATAAAACACTTGCACAGACATCAGAGGTGCCCAATTTCGCCTATTGCCAAGAAAAGGGGTGAAAGCTCTTGTCTGTTCAGGAAATACTGACTATATGCTACAAAGGCCACACTTGCCTTCAGTGACCCAGGCACCACGAGGGAAGGTCTGGCCCATGCAGAATGAAGAGTATTCAGGATGAGAATGAAACTATCCTTATGAGCAATAAGGCTTTGTTTGCTCTCAGTAACAATAGCAGGTAGCCAAATCCAATTGGCTACATAGCACCTGACCTTGCCAATTCAATCTATGATTTGCGACTGGTTGGAATCACTCTGAGGTAGAGAAGGAAGCTGCTTCAACATGGTGCTGAAGCAACAGCAGGTTGGGGAAACAGTGCTAGTACTTTAAGTCAGAATTTATTTTGAAAGGAAAACAAGAAAAGAAGGACTACATCTCATGACTGCTTTGGAACCTTTTGATTTGGTTATGTGATCATTCAAGCTGGTTCTTGTTTGATTTGTAAGCTTTTAGTTTTTTTATTTTTAAAAAGGCACACATTCACACAATATAGCATCTATATATGTTCAATAGACTAAAAACTGGTAATATTCCATATAGCCTAAATAAGAATCAGGGCTCTATTTCTCATAATTAATTCTGAAAAATGATTCTACTTTAATCATTCTTTTTGTGTCTATATGACTGACATTGCCATTTTTCATTGTATTGTATAGTGACCTCAGCCACACATCTTCACAGATTTCTCTTACCTATGCCCTTTCAAGGATATCATGTTGTTTTCTACAGCTTTTTCAAGAAATATCTTTTCCAAGGCTTCATCACCCTTAATACTGCCAATCCGGAAGGGAACATTCATTCTGCTTCTGTTCTTTCTTTCCACAGGGCATCTGAAAAGGTCACAGAAATATGTTTTATTACAGTCTTATTTTTATTGATGTGTTATAAATTCAGCACATATTAATAAATTATAGTTTGTATTTAAGTGGCATGGCTTATTCAGCAAAATATTGTATCCCTCTATAATCTCTCAAGGGCTACTAAATACATAATTACATGAAACACAAAAAGATAATTTAAATTAAGTGTTGTGGTTTAGTGGGTATAAGTATAAGCCTGCATTCCACAGCTACTATTAAAGCAAGCGAAGATGCACAGTATCCGATGGGGTCATTTAAGATGGGCAGTAGCCAATGGAATCACTCTTTGTCCACTGATTCTGTGTAGGGGGACCAAGAACTTCACCAGAGGGCTTTTGCACTTCTAAACTAACTCTGAGAATGACAAGATCAATACAGGTCAGTCAAGCTTCCTTCTGCAAGCTCCAGTCAGCTGCCCCATTATGAAAACAAACTTTTCTGTTTCTTCCAAGTTATTTTTAGAACCCCAGAAGGCCCACTGCACTTCTGGTGGGCCCCACACAGCCACGATACTGCATGGCTTTCCCTATCCAAAATAACTGAACATGCAACATGCTAGCTAGGGTTGAACGAAAGTGCTCATGAGCAGGGGGTCAGATGTAGATCTCCCTTTTGCAGAGTAACTAAAGGTTCAAGGGAAGTGTGGGAGAGGTAGACAACAGTCAGAGCAGATATGAAAACAGGAATCACACCCAAAAGGGGGGAATACACTTACCATCCCCTTTAGGGAACCCCCCCTTTGTGCTTTTCAGCTGACAGCCTGCCAATTGACAAGTATGTGCAAAGCAACCATACGCAACCTTGCTTGCTCAATGTCCATAGAAGCTGCCGACTGCACTGTGGCAGCAGGTGCTTATAGGGCATTGGCCAGGCAAAGCTCACCATTATGAGCAGCCACAGGTGTGCACCTGCATACCTGTAAAGGACCAGACACTAACATGAAAAAAGTATGAGAGAAATCACACTGCCACCAAAGGAAAAGGGTCAGTGACAGTTGCTCCAAAGTGCCACTTGGTCATCAGTGGGGCAGCTGTCACTGCTGGTGGCATGGGCCCCAGAATACAAAGAAACAAACAAACAAACCCATTAAAGTAAAAGAGCCATACTTGGAACAGGGAAGGAGACAAGATGGGTTATGCCACACAGGACCCTGCACTGCCAGCTGGAGGAAATGGGGGAGCTGGAGAGAGAGAACAGCAGCCCACCACTATTGGGTGCATCATGGGTTGGTCTGAGAAGCGCCTACTCTGCGTAGCTTATATGCAGGGTAAGTATATGTTGTATCATGTGAACTCACCCACTGAAACACAGAGTTAAATATTAAAGTAAAATCTTGGTAATGCAGCATGTAAAATTCTGCAGAAGGACCCAGGTATAAGCACAACATTTCCTAAATAAGATTTAAAAAAAGACTCCACCTTAAAAAAAAAAAAAGACTGTTCTTGAGTTTAAACCATAAGAAGGGCCCTGCTGGGTGAGATCAACACACTCTCTTTCCCACTGAAGCTAACCAAATACCAACAGGAAATCCACAAGCAAGACATCAACACAGTAGCATCTTCCCGCCACTCTGTTCCCCAGGAACCACTATTCAGAGGCAAGCTGCATCTCATCCCAGAGTAGTGGATTAACTGGAAATATGCATGCTATTATACAGTAGTGAGAATAGCTCCCACAAGCCCGAGTCTACCTTGTATTCCTAGGGCACAGGTCCCCAAGGAAGGTACAGAAGCTTTCAGAGATTTGTAATCTCCTTGCCTGTTCAAAGCCAACCATACCTGAAGGTAGAATGGACCATACCTTAATGCCCCTCTTATAAAATAATCCCAAGGTGGTGAGCCGCCAATAAATGGGCAAGAAGTGTCACTGTCAAGCCCACTGAGCTTGGGAAGGCTAACACAGCAGTCCGTAAGAGGGGAAGAGGGGCCTTATGCAGACGCAATCAAATACTAACACACAAATCATGTCTGAGGCTGCCGTTGAGCTGCTTTGCACTGCTCTTCTATTAGATCCAGCAAATGGAAGCACAGGACAGAAGGCAGTCAGACTGCATTCCATGCGCCTGACAGAATATGATTATCAGTGCATTCACAGGCTGGTCACATTTTGGTATGTCCAGCGAGGCATTTCGTTGCTTAGGTGGCATTTCACAGGTAAACAGTCCTGCTCCAGATAAGGCTTTGCCTTCAGTCAAAAAGCATGGCGCAGACAATGCCACCTAAGCTGCAAAATACAGCAGCACATACTGATAAGATGCACACCGCTCAGCAGTCTTGTAATTCCATCACCATAATGGCCAGCACCTCCGTTTTGAATTCCTAAACAGAGTCTATCTCCTAGGGGCAAAAAAATGAATTAGTAGTCTGGGAAAAAAGTTTCTCCCAGCTTTAAAAACTCACTTAAATCCCCAATCATTTTGGAGCCGACAGCTACAATTTAGGAAATAGGTAGGATGAAGGTGAAACTGTTACATCTTCCTTTCGGTTTGTCAATCAAAATATGTTGTTTCCACCTACAGCCCTCAAAGAACTCCTGCAGCCACCAAAGGCTGGCACATCCATGAGAAAACTAGGCTACAAACTGTTTCATTGAACTGCAAGTTTACTACTTACAGGGAAACTTCATGGGAAAGTACCACTCTGACATTAATGTCCTAAGCAGGAGCTATAGGGCAGGAGTGCTGATGTATCCAATTTGACAAAAGGATGCTAGTTAGTTATCACCAGACAAAGTGAGGGTTAAGAATGGGGACTATAATATGGAAACAAAGCAGAAGTGTGCTCTGGCAGGAGTTAAAGGATATAAAAGATGTGGGGCACACAGGAAATGCACAGACAAAGCTCGTGTTCAAAAGGATTTCTCATATACTGATGACGGCAGTAATGAGTTAAAGAAATCTAATACCCTAATTTATTTGAAATTAAATTCAGAGTTAAAAAATAATGCAAGTTCAGTGCCACTCATGTTTTGGCAGGGAAGAGTTTTACTTTCTATGCATTTCTCTAAGAATTGCTGCATAGATGCAGACTGCTTTTGATACTGAAAAGGAAAATTTCATAGGAACTAGAGAAGCCATTTTATAGTGAGCCTAGGCTGGACCACCTAGCTTAGCACTGGATGTCTACACTGACTGGCAAGAGCTCTCCAGAGTTTTGGAAAGATCCTTTTCCAGCCCTACCTGGAGATGCCATGGATTGAACTGGGAGCCTTCCAGATGCAAAGCAAGTGCTCCAATACTAAGGTCTGGCCCTTTCCCACATATACTGAGAATTACTGGGAAAAGGGTAAGTACACAGTAAGGCGATCTTAAGGCCAACCTGAAACTTTGCAAAGTTCATTTTTATTCTGTTTTTACTCCCCAGCACTGCCAAACCTAGAGGAATTTTGCATGAACTTGACTAGAAGTTCAGAAAATTTAAAGAGCTGTTAGCTCACATTTAATTAACATTTTAGTTTTTTTAATCTTGCCCGTGGCAACAGTCTTTTGTCCTGTACTAAAACATACAAAACTAAGCCAGATATCAAAAGTATTTGTTCAAACCCTTATATGTAATGCTTCAACTGAACTTGACGTAGTGCTGCTACAAAGTCACCTAATACCTGGCATGTTTACAGGGGAAAATGTCCCATCCAAGGTCATCCTGGTGATCATTAACTTCTTTCCCTGACTCCCATGGCTCTGCCATCTAGAAAAGTCGCAACAGCAATTTTACAGATTTTTGTTCAGCCCTTCCACATCTTGGTGCCTACCAGATCCATGGAAGGCTGGTTTATTTCTCTCTTTTTGAAGCAACAGGTGTGGAGGCCTCAGTATAAGCCAGTTATTCATGCCTTACAATAAGCCAGTCACAGTACAATAATAAAGAAAAAAGGTAGGGCAACTTACACATAGAATCCAGTGGATCCATCAATAATGTCATAAATCATTTCTGATTTAATTTTGCTCAGTTTATCCATAGCCACAGCTCCACCATTGTTTTTTATCCACTCCAGGACCAAACCCATGATGTAGATACTGGAATCAAAAAGAAGGCACAAGTTACTTGCAGTAAACTACATTAATTATGAACATGTCTCAGCAACAAAACAACAAGTTTTGCTTATGATATAGTGTTAGTGAAGCAAATACCTCACTGAAACAACACAGAACCATGCACACGGAAGGGTGAGGAAGAGCAAGATAGGAAGCCAACCATATCTGAAGGAATTTATTTCAATATTTCTCTCATTTATTCCCACAAACACACCAGAATCTTGATCAGCAGCTGCCATGCAGAGATGGAGTGCATCAACACCAAAGTGTCAGCAGAGCTGACAATTTTACATGGCTCATGCAAATGAGCCAAGCCACATACTAGAAGGCAACACAGATCACTGTAGGACTCCTAATGCCACAGAAACAGGTGAAGGCTAAAGATTTAAAATGAGGTAAATTTTCCATTAAAAACTTCCTGTATAGGTCTTGTCCCAATGATGAAAGTTAGGGTCTAAACCACAGCAAGGTGGCCTTTCTGGGCCCATGGCCACATCTGGCAACTGGAGAACCTGATCTGGGCACCACCACAAGACAGGTGTGCTGTAAATGAAGGCACCTTCCATATTCCTTTCCACAGAATGTCTCTAGGCCTCAAGTGCTGCCCAGACGCATTAGCAGAGGGGGGAAAAAGAGAGAGAACTCTTTGTTCTGAAGCTTCCAGTAAGAAACATTGCTATTTGTTTTAAGTGGGAGGAATAGGAAACCTTCAGAGGCATTAAGGCAGGCATCTGACGACACCTTGAACCACTCCAGTAAAACCTTACCTACCCTAGTCTAAACCAAGTAAGAGTTTGTAAAAAATTCTGGAAAAGCTGGGCAACATTAACAGAATGAGAGAAGGGCAACTACAACTTACCAAATATATTGCTATCCTTGCCCTTTTATGTGAGCATTAACTTTTTCAATAAGCTCTCCCCTTTTAAAGTCATTTAAACTGTCTGCCTAAATCTGTTTGCTTTACAGTAACCAGAATCCTGTTGCTTCCATATAGCCAAGGATGACCCTTTCTTTCTGCAGAGTCCTTGAATAGAAAGACGAATACAAAAGGATACACCAGCCTATGTGTGTAAGCTACAAAATATCTGCCTGATGGAGCATAGATTTCCCATGGATGCTGCATAATGAATGGCCTGCCAGTGTGTTTCTAACGGCACATTTCCAGTAAGTTCTTTATTATAGTCTACCGAGGGATAGAAGCCCTTAGACTCGTCTTTCCCAACACAATGTCCTTCAGATACGTTGGAACTGTGGCTTGTGTCATTTCCAGCCAGCTTGGTTCATTTGGAGGCCCTCTGGCTGGGAAGGCTACCTTGCACGATGAATGGTATCTTAAATGTATGAAAGGATCCCATTTTAAACTCTGACTTGTAATTTATTTAAGGGACAAACACTGAAATGCTTCAGGTTACAAGCACAGACTGCACTAACAGCAGTAATATTACATATTTAGCTCTTACATATTTCTTGAGATGGTTCAAAGTATTCATCATACAAAAGCTAGGTCAGGATTATCATCTCTCTATCACAGAGGATTATCATTTCTGTATTGCAGATGAAACCTGCGGGATAGTGGTCACCCAAGACCACCAAGGCAAGCTTTGATACTGAGGCTCCTAGTTTCTTAGCCACTTTGAGATAAAACGTTGCCTTCACTGAACTCCATGGGATTATGTTCAGATGAACACAGTTCAGGTCCAGGCTTACAATTCAAACTAACCTGCATCTCCACTCCTGCAGTCAGCAGGTATCCTCAGGCAAGTTAAAACTCATGTGCGCAGAGGGGCTGATACATCCTGATGAGCAGGCCATGTAGCTGGCATGCAGGGCCGCCTTATCTTTTCCAAGGACATCCCAGTTGGCCGTACCTTGAAATAAGGATTGTGAACATTTGCAATGCAGACACACCTTGCACTTGTAGCCCTTCTGCCAGGGTTTATCCAGTCCCAGCCCTATCATCGGCCATTCAGGTGCCTTTTCATTAACACACACAAGCCTAGGAATTTTTTTCAGTTGCAAGGGATGTACAGTGACAATTGTCCTAAGCTGGTATGGGACACATATGGGGAACTCCATCCCTCCTCCAAGCAAAGGACAGAACTGTAATGCCTTAACACAACCCATTGCTTGAGTTGCAGTTACTGAAACAGATGCAGCGGCATGCCAAATGCCTGCTACAGCTTACTTCACTTCACCCAGCACAATTCTTTACCTTTATTATCTGGGTCCCAAATCTGCATGACTTAAAGACCCCTATCTGTTTCATGAACAGATACCTCTGTATCTGCCTCTGCTCACTGCCTCTCACTGAGCTCATCAGCAGACTGGGGCTGCATCTTGCAACCAGCAGAGAAGTGTTCGTCAGTGATAACAGAGACTTCTCGATGGCAGCAGGCACACTTCAGAATAACCACCTGTGAGATGATCAGGTGATGCCCACTTGCAGGAATCCAAGAGCCCATGAAGCCGATTTCAACATCAACTCTGTTTTGTTGGGCCTTGATTTAGAGTAATAGCACCAGCACTTGCCAGTTTTCTGTGCCTGATATTTTGCTGCTGATGTCTTGAGGTTTTGCTGTTCCATTTTGGTCTATCTGAGTTACATATATTTTATTCTTTAATTACAGTGTTTTTATTTTATGCTGTGCACGAAAGGCAGAGAAGTGAACAAGCAGCCTAAAAATATCACCACGTGTATTCTGTTCATCAGCAGTTTGGTTTTATTTCCTTCCTCCACGCCTCCGCATATGCAGACCTGTTGCAAAGGTGGGACCCCAGGAGAATTCCTGCATATGCCAAAAAGCTAATATGAAATATGAAAGCTCTATATTCTGCACACAGCTGAATTTCACCTAAGCCTTTACTATCCAAAGTACATCCTCTAAATGGGTAGGTGGGTGGGTAATTGAATGACCCACTTTAAAGTCACACAGCAAGCTTCAGTGCCATCCCCAAAGCAGGTTTAGTCACAGATTTAAATATCAGGCAAATCCTTGCAGCAAGGAAATGAGATTTCTTCTGGGGGAAAATACTATTAATCTCCACCCAGGAGATTAATGTCAGGAAACCAGGGCTGCTTTTGGAAAGAGGTTAAAATGATCCACATTGCACTAATTTAATTCGGTGCTTGTCTATGCCAGCTCATGGACCTTCAGTGTAGCTTGCCAACTGATGAATGCCAGCACAGAGAAGAAAGAGAAGCAGAGGGGAGCACAAGCTGAAAAAGGAAAAGTCATTGGGGCCAATTTCTTGCAACATACAAGCAACTGTTTAAAAGAAAACTCAAAGCAGATGCATCCAGCCAACTTGCAGGTTAATATTTACAAAATGACAGCATAGTATGTTCTCCAACATACGTCACTAGCATATGCATACCAAAAATAAGTGAGCTCAGAAGGTTGGAAACACTTGTCCCAGATATAGTAGACAATTATTGTACTACCTACTGATAACGATATTGTAACTTCAAGCAGCATTCACAGATTTTCTAAAATCTAGTTCTCTTCCAGATGCTTAACCATTTTCCAAATAAGGGTATCACAGCCCTCTCCAACCACTGCCTTCAGTTGCTGTGGACTACAATTCCCAGCATCACTACCATTGAGCACAAGGTCTGGAGCTGATAGGATTTGAAGTCCAAAAGACCTAGTGAGTAGCAGGTTAGAGAATTCCTCAGGAACCATGTTTTAGCAGCAGCAGGCAGGCAGAAGGAAAAGGAGGCAGGGACCCAAAACCAAGAAGTGCCAGCAGGTTGTTGCTTAAAGTAACTGGGCCTTGGGAGAGGCAGTCTGGCCATTTAGAATACAGAAAGAACTGCACAAAAGTGAGGAAACGACCAAATGGACAGCATTCATTGGGAGAAGGAGAAACTAAAGGAAGGGGTTATAACCATCTGGGGGCATCCAGGAGGACTGGCTTGGGACCCAGATTTCCCACTCCTGGTCTAGCTGAAGCAGGTGACAGCAGGATGCGATCACATCCATCGTTTTCCCACTCCACCTTACATCAGCTGTCCGCTTCAAACACATGGTAGTGGCAGGCGCAGGAAGAAGGTGTTAGTTTGAAATGTGTGGCCATTTCTAATGCACATCCAGTTTGGGTCCAAACTTAGATACTGACTCTTGGCAGAAGTGAGCCAAAGGTAGATTCAGGATTTATAAAAGTAACCACTTCTTCACGCACCACATAATGCTACTACTGAATTCATTTATACATCATACAGTTATGTCCAAAGCCTGTTCTGAAGTCTCCAAAGGAATTGGAATCCTTGAAAACTGTGTTTTTTAAATGCATGGGGAACAATTTAGGTACCTCACTCCAGAGAACCGCTGTCCATGAGTGGTGGGGTGGGATGAGCTAAACTCTTGTTCCCACTTTCCTTCAGCGACTGGAGGATTAAAGCAGCCAAACACAGGAAACTGAGAATTTGAAGCAGACATAAGAAAACTGCTGCCTGTTTTTTGTTTTCTTCTTCCGCTCTACCCCCAAAAAGATTTCCTTGTACCAAAGGCAGCTTTGGACAAATTGTAGCTTTCCAGATGTTTTGGCCTACAACTCCCATCAGTCTTTTTCAAAATAGCCAATGATGAGTAATCAGCAAAACTGTAGGCCAAAACATCTGGAGAACCCCAAGTTGCCCACTGCTGATCCAGAGATGTTCTTTGATTTGCAAACACTAACTCCAACTGTATTTTTATTCCCAGTTAATCAATATTTTGCTAGGTTCTATCTTTTCCAAGAAGCTTTTCTTGATTTTACTTTTAGCCAAGTAGAACCCACTGATCACATTAGACAGGGCAAGGCATGAAGATGTTTTCTAAAGTTAAATCTCCTGACAGTCCTTATATTGTCTTTGGGGAATGCTGTCCTTAGGTGGTGCAAGGACAGCCTTTGAATGAAATAAAGGAATAAGGTTAACTGTCTTCAGTTAAAGGACACATCAAAGACCACAATCCTTACTCAGTGGAAACAGTTAGCTTTTGACATAGCTGGAAAATGAAATAAAGAAAGTATAAAGAAGAAAGGAACAGAGACAATAACCTTAGGCATGAGTTGCAAAATTAAGTAAGAATTCTTGTTTCGCAAGCCCAGGATTTCTGGGGCTGACCTCACCCCACCTGGCCTCAGTAGACAGGGTAACAGGATGTAGGTTGACGAGGACTTTAGAAATGCACAGTCACAACAGAACGCTAAGAAGAAAATGAAATGCCTATTTTATATATGCCCTGCCCATTATAGGAAAGGTTTGCATAATTTTTATTTCCATTTTCTGTTCTCACAATTCAGGTGCTCATACTGTAGAATTGAGTCTTCAGTATTCAAAGGTAGAGATCCACACTGACAGTTACACATGCACCTCAAGCATGACATTTAGCTCTTAATTACATCACTAACCAAGCATGATTTCCCAACTGTCAGCAATTCAGAGGCAAGAAGAGCAACCATGCAATTCAGTTTTGCCTCATTTACAACCAGAACTGCTAAGTGGCTTGCTGCCTTGTAATCCTGATCGCTAGGCAACAATTAACTGCAAAAGACACAAGGTTTTTCCCTTTTTTTGTACTTTGGTCTACTGACATGGTAATGTGGCCAGGTCCAACTTGTCAGGAATGTCAGCTGTACAGCAGAAGAGACTGGAAATTCACTGGGAGAGAATCTGCTTGCTCTGACGGAACATCATTGGAGCCACCAAGCATCATCTAGCTCTGCTAAACCAGCAGAGCCTCCTAGAGAGGAAGGGTGCACTGATGCAGGATGGGGCTGAAAAAGGGGAACATACCAATGTACTTCAGGTTCCTTGAAGCCTGCAGGCAGTCCAGCTGAGTGACAAATCCACAAAAAGCAGGTCTTGCACTAACATTTCTACAATGCCAATATATCCAGGAGAATTTGATGAGGGAAGTGAGTCAGGATGAAACTACCAGCACCGTGCTAGCTGGAAAGTGCCTAACACAGTTTTCTCCACAGCAAAGCAATGTCATCTTTGTCCGGCTTCCAATCAATTACCAGAATGCCAATGCTTTACACAGCCAATGACATGCCTGTAATTAACAGGAAGAACGACAATGTACTTACCTAAAACATGGAGGAGTGTTGTATAATGAAGAATTCTCTGCTTGCACTTTGTAGTCCAATACTATAGGGCACTCCTTGAGAGCAAAGCCGATTAAGTCCTCACGCACTATTACCACTGTGACTCCAGCACAGCCAACGTTCTTTTGGGCACCAGCAAAAATTACACCAAACTTAACATTGGAAAGTGGGAAGGAAAAGAGAGGAGGAAATGGCTGTTAAATTCACAGAGCTGTTTAACCGGAACTTACTCTGCTGTTTTAATATATAATGAAGAAAAGACCACAGATAATGGGTGTTCATTATCAAAACTACATTTCCACATAGTTATAACTTTCTGTGCTTGCTATCTCCAAAAATGCCCAGAGGCTCTGAGTAGTTAATAAACAGATTAAGGGTGCAAGCCTATGAATGTCTAGACAGTCTTGCAACTCCTACACAGCTAGCTGGGGAAAGCCACAAGGTGTTTCTTTCCTGTCTAAGGTGCTATTTCCTGTCTAAGGAGGATTTTTCCTGTCTAAATGTGCATATGATTGTGCCCAAATTGTTATGTTTGCTTGATTTTGTGCAGTCCCTTTGTGTCAGGAAAAAGCATATGCAATCTAAGGTGGAAAGAGCCATACTTTCACTGTTAAACATTAGCAAGCCGACACAAATGGGAAAAAAGCTTCTAATGAAGCAATTCCTACCTCAGGGTTCATGGGTTTTGTTTTTAAAGCATCAAGTTGTAAAGCATATCCAAAAGCACAATCCTAAATTGGTTCTACTAAGTTCAATAGGAATTATTTGGTAACAAGTGTAGTTAATGTTACAAATTCAGGTTGCAATGTTATGGGTTGCATCTCCCTGAACACAAGGGCTTCTGTGTAACTCGGAGAAATTTTAGAGGCCATTTTTACCTTTCCGCCCTCCATGTTTTGCTTTTTCCCCCTCCAGATAGCCCTCTGAACCCACCTGCAAAGGGTAGGACTAGGACTCAAGAGGACTTAAGAGTCTTCCTATCTTGGCCTCTCCAAAGCCACTTTTGCAACTTCAGGAGCAGCCATGAAGTTCTTTCTACAGCAGCTGCACGGGAATGGAATTGGATACTGCAGTCCTCCTTCTGAGAGTTAGGACTCATCTGAGGAGCACTCTCTAAAGAATTTTCTGATTCCTAGAAACTTGCCCTGGACTACAGGATTACTTTCTAAGGTGATTAAGCAGTTCTTATTCCCTCTCCTTGGGGAATCTCTGAAACTAGCTCCGAGAGAAGATCATGGGAGTTATATATGGCTAAACAGCAACAACACCACACTTGTTAAGCCTGTTACTAAATGATCAGGAGTCAGGACTAAGCAACCAAGTGGCCAGGTTTGACACCAAACTACTCACAGTGGTTAAAACAAAGGGACTGCCAAGAGCTAAAAGGTTATCTTCAGACTTAGCTGGACATTAAAATGGCAAAAATAATTCAGTGTACACAAATATAAAGTGATCCACAGCAGGAAAACAAGAACTTCACATATACACTAATGGAATCTGATAGTGCCTGACTAAACAGGGGATTTTGTGGTGGTTGTGGATGATCGATGAAGTATCAGCCTAGTGTGCAGTTGCTGTAAAAAGAGCATATTCTATGTCATTAGGAAAGGAACTGAACACTGAACTAATCTATGATGTAAGCATCCTTTGTACAGTTGGATCACTGCATCTCAAAAATGATTCTTTGGAGCCAGAAAAAGTGAAAATGGCAGTCAAAATTATAAAGTTTCTCATGAGGAATGGTTATAAGGTTTGCAACTCTTTACCTTAGGAAAAGGAGAATTAGGTGGGACGTTAAAGAGATGCATAAAATTATGTCTGCTATGGAGAAAGAATTTATGTGTAATTGAGGTAGCTGGCAGAGAATTCTCAGCAAGTTACAGCTTGCTATTACAACTGCTGTTGTATAACTTGCTCTTACAATTCAGCAAGTTACAACTTCCAGGATTCTTTAGGAAGGAGGAATATCTTGCCCTGTTATAGCACTAAGATAAGCTTAGAATGTACATACATCCTAGCAATACCAGAACTGGCTTTATTGACCCCAAAGATACTAGGTCACACCTTGCTAAAACTGCCCCTTGGGAACTTTACCTTGGAAACATCCACAGGCCTAGAGAGGAAGTTTGATGACATATCACAAACTAAGACTGCCTTTCCAACATCAGGTACAAAGTCAAACTCCACACCATGGACGGTCTCATTTGCACAATAATAAACATAAGAGGCATCAGGGTTAAGGTTCCAAGTGCTTGGGTCAGGGATTTCTGAAACAGATGAGAAAAAAAAGAAGCAGTTGTTATATTTCCAAACTGGCAGACTTGAAAAGCCAACCTTAAACAAAGCAGCTGACCTTAAACAATGAACTTTGAAAGCAACTCTGGTTCAATGCATTCCTATTGCTTTGCCAGCAAAATGTATTTATTCTTAGATTTACTATGGAAGATAAAACTTGCTATTCAAAAAGCTAAAAAGAAAAAGAAAACTCATGGTGCAACCAACCGGAAGCAGCAGCATCTGTTCAATTTGTAAGCAGATACCTGCTCCCTTTAATATGCCGAAACAGATTAATATTCAAAATAAGCAGAGCATTCGACACAAAAAGCAATCTTCTGGAACAAAGGAGGCATTTAGTCCACTTAAAACAACATTTAGCTTTCTCTCTCTCTCTCTCTCTCTCTCTCTAAAGGCCTTTCATCTATCTAGTACCACTTTCTTCCTCACTAATCTAACACTACTCTTTTGCAACTAAAGACTGCACATTGTAAATACCAAGAGAGTACTGCAATGACTGAGCGATAATGTGGGAGGTAGGGCTACTGAACTGTATACATGATATACAAACTCCATAAGCCTCAGGAACTCCTTGTCTCATCCACAACCAAGTGCAGTATTTTGCACCAGAAGCAAGAGTTAGTTAAACATCCTAAGGATTGTATCTAGATGTGCCTCTCCCCTTGCAGAATGAACACCATGAATGAAATGATTTGTCTACAGTCCTCCAAACTTCTGGAACATCAAGGGATGCCCAAGAAGTACAAGTCCTGTTGCACAAGCAAACATTTAATAGCAAGATTTTGAAGGAATCAGATTTAAGTTTTTTCCAATGACACGCAAAGCCAGCCCTAAAAATTCCACAATTAACTCACATTAGAACTTGGACCAGATGCAGTGGCTTACTGTTGATAAAAAGGCCCTTCATGGTGTTTCAGTTTTTGTCTCTGAAGACTCTCTTTTCGCAGAAACACTAGTCAGCCTTGTAGATACTTCCCAAGCTTTCTGTGACTAACAATTGATCATGAGGCTGCTTTGTTTCCTGTCTTTTTTATTATTCCTTTTAATCTTATTTTTAGATAATCTTATATTTTTGTTGTGAGCTGAATTTGTGTATTATATGTACTTTTAACTGCAATTTTAATGTTTGTATGTAAACCTGAGCTGAGAGATATTATACATGTACTACTAATAAATACTTAAAAATATTTTATCATTTCTAAAATAATTTCCTGCATTGCATGCCACACTAGCTATATTTCAGAACATTCAGAGAATTTCTTGGACATACTCCTAGCATCACTTGTGAAAGTAGCATTATTTTTCCCTAAACTGCACACAAAGTAAAGCAACCTGCATTAATATTGCTTATGGATACTGCTGCCTTGACTCCTGAAGCTCAGGCCCTAGGACAGAGTCTGAGAACACACACAAAGTGCAAAACAGAGGCAGGTGCTGATGGCACTTGTTTTCTTTTGTTTTTTTAAATGAGGCTTAAGTCCTAACTGTCCTCAGCTTATTGCACTCTTTCCACTCATTTTGAACTTATCTTCGTTATGCCTTTATTGATATTTGTCATTCAGATAGTCTATTATCTCACACATAAAGAAACACTGAAAGAACATTTTGGGGAAAGGGAGAGGTTGAAACCTTTAGATTCTTACATTATATTGTGAATTTCTGTACCCTAAAATTAACAGTAGAAAACCTATGCATTTCTAAAGTAAGCCCCTTTGAGTTCAAGAAAAAATGAATTTTCAACAAATGTTATGATGACTGCACCCTAAATGTCATTCTCATGTGGGTAAAACCCTGCAACTTTAAGTCATACCATGTCAGTTACAACACTAGTTATGAACACATTCTACTGCACGTTACATGAAAGGGTTTCACATATGTAATTGCTCCTCTAACAGAAACCCTAATTAAATCTGGGAAAAGCCAGATAAAGCAGCATGGCACTAGGATGGGAACTGAAATTCCACCCAAAAACTACTAAAGTTTTGCCAAGTTTAGATTTGCTTTCCAAACATTGTTTGCCCTGTTTCATGCTCTTCTCTGCACTGAACCCTACATTTGTTTCTTCTTAGTGAGAGATTTAAAAACTAGGCTTAGTATGATTGCATTGCAGAAAACACAGCAAATATATATAGTAATGTGTTTTTAAAACTGGCAAAACAAGGTGCATTTATTCTCAAAGCAAAATGTCCTATGTTTGTACACTCTGGGTATTTCCAGATCAGCACTCTTGTCAAATTGCATTTCATTCTTCCTGGACTAACTTATTCCATGTGCTTTAATGGCTGTTTTTCCCCCTCCAGGCACAATTTCAACTCAATACTTTTGATGCAACATGTCCTCCTAAAGGGAAGACAGCCTAAATAGGATTGAAGTAGCGACATTTAACTTCTCCTACACGAGCAGATTAGCAAAGCAACCACAGTGACTGGGCACACAGGTACAGATTCAATAATATTAATATTGAAAGAGACTTAATTAACAAAGGCAAAGGTGAGAATTGAGAAGAAAGAGTGCAAAATTTCTATCCAGATAAATCATTAAAAAGTATATGATTACAGAAGTATAAAAAAGTTCATACCAAAAGCAGGTTTTTTCTCAGAACTGTAATTATGTCTTCCTCCATATGGGCTATTTTTCAGTTTGGCTTACAGGCTCATAATTTGGACATGGTTTTTAACAAATTATAGGGACCATATTTATTGACTGATTTTGGATTTTATATATTGCCCCAATCCCATAGTCTCTGGGAAATTTATAAAGAAATGAAACCACCAACAATGTAAATTTAGTCTAAAAACAAACAATAAATCTTATCTGTAAAGGCCTACTGGAAGAAGTGCTTCTTTAATTCCCTCTTGAAGGTAACCATCTGGGATATCTGATGCATCTCTTCTGACAGGCTATTCCAGAGTTTAAGGAAGAGCACTGAGAAAAGTTCTCTGGGTAGATGACATCAATATTGCAGAAGCAAGCTTCCAATGATTATACCCAGGGGACCTTAGCAGGTAAGGCAGAATATATGGGCAAAGGTTCTCCTGAAGGTATTTTGGACCCAAGCCATGAAGACCTTAAAAGGTAATTTCCAACACCTTGTACTGTGTCCAGAAATATATTGGCAGCCAGTGCAGAGACTTTATTATCAGTGATATATGGTCTTTCAGTGATGTCCCAGAGACTAGCCTGTCTGCCATATTTTGCACTAGTTACAGTTTCCAGAGTAAAAGAAAGTAGTTCTAGCATATGTGGCAACTTTTCACCAATGTTAAGCTTAACTTTATCTTACTTGTGTAACTAGAGAGCTTAGGATGAACAAGGTTCACTTTGGCGTATTTCTCTGCTTCCTTGGCTGCCTTTGCTGACCAAGCTCCTGTAACCACATAATCAGCACACCTTGCTTCTTTTAAGCCAATAAGGTTAAGTGGGATACCACTGAATTGTCCAGATCCACCTCCTTGGAGAAAAATCACTTTGTACTTGTCTGGTATATTGCTATGTAAAAAAGAAGAGTGGATAAACAAAGGAATATTGTCAATTCAAGATTTTGAACATTCTTTAGTGATGTTACTTTTATTAAGATCAGATGCCTGGTTTCAAGACAGCATATAAGTAAATGAATTCTTTTTATTCAAAGTTAAAAGATTGTTTCATTGTAGCTTGCTCATCACCACTCTGTTATTCAACATATACACAAGACAGCAATAACTCCAGAATGAATTGAATTCAGAATTAATTCTGTAAGTCACTCCAAACTAAATATATGCATGTATTGTCCTTCCTTCCACTAACCTTAACCATGTTCTATTTGTGCTGCTCCACAAAGTTTTAGGATGTCCACTTTGGAGTATGTGAGGTACCACTGCAGGAATCCTACAAGCCTCCAAGACATGTTAGACAGACCCCTAATGTCCTAGAGAGATCCTTGTCCATTTACATGCTCCAAACTTCCAACATAGGCATCAATTTGCAAACAAGAATGTAATTTGGGTATGCTAAGCAGCATCCTTAGACTTCATGGGGATTTTCAAGCAACTCTAGGGAATCAGCTCACAGTCTCTGGTGCAGCTGATGGGTGATGTTTTCACCACTCCACCGCCTCTGCCACAAATGATGCAGCATTTTCAGAATGGGCGGAAACCCACTGCAGCAAAGCAGATTGTGGTCCCAATTTAAAAAAAAATCTTCCTCAACTAGCATCCAAGGCTCCTTGTCATATCCTTGAAACACCTCAACCTTCAAGTATACCAGAAGGTGGCTTTTTCCACCCAAAGGGCAATCCAGAAATTGCCAAGCATGATGATGTAATGGTGGTAGTGATGCTGTTTCAAGACAGCATGAAATTAGGTTTGCTCTTTTTAGAGCAAGTGTAGCTATATATTCTGTATCTTCTTTTACCATGCTGACAACATCTGCAGCAGATTTTTATACTTTCACCTACATCACCCCCTTGTTCATCAGTTCTCTACTTTAAATTATCCTCCTGAAAAAGTTGCTTTGCTCTTTAAAAATACTGAGTTGAATCTGGTCACACACAGATCCCATTTCAATCAACCATCAATTTATTCCTGATTAAATAGATCTCACAGATGTTAATGAGAACTAAGTGTAAATAAGGTAGAATTCTATGCATGTTAGGCAGGAAAAAAATTGTACAACTCCTAGCATGGCTGGCTGGGGAATACTAGGAGATGTAGCACTTTTTCTGTCTACACAAAGATAAGGCTGTGCCCTTAGCCTTTGATCCAATCCATGCTGTTGGGGCATCGTAACAAGCATGAGTAGACACCATAGCATAGCACAGCATAGCAGAAACTGTAGCTGAATAAACTGCAAAGTCTGAAAAGTAAACCATGCTGAAAACAGCAGAAGTGTTTGTTTCCATATCCACCAAACTGACACTTTGAACTTGCATTAAAGCACCACACGTACACAGTAAAACAAAATGCACAACAGCTATGTCTTCAAAGCAGAGTTTTATTATGCTATGAATAAAAAGTATGACTTACAGGAGTTCGCGCAAGCACTTTTCTGCAGTTTTAATGATTTTTGAAAAATCAGATGTCCTGTGGCTCATTTCTATGACAAAATGAATAAATCAAAAGCATCATGATACAAGCCATACCATAAGGAAGCAGAATTAATTAACATTAGAATCAGGAGAGACACTATGGACAACTTAGAATCCTTTTTCTTTCCTTCTTTTTTTTTAACACAAGGAAAGAAAATGCATTTTTTTACATATGCATCAACCCTTGCTTTCTGGGTTTCAGGACTCCAGGCCTGCATGTGAGCTCCTCCATTTACCATGCCACACAGCAGGAAGCACAGTAAACTTAAACACACACACTGCCCTGTGCATTTCAGTAGGGCTGGCAAATCTTTGGAAACAAAGCTTGTGTACATTACTCCACTGAAATGAATGGATCAGCCCTTCCAAGTCCTATGGTATCTCATATACCAGCATTCCCTAACCTTGTGCTTTTCAGACACATTTGGACTGTAACACCCAGAATTCCCAGTCAATGGCCCTGCTGGATGGGAATTCTGGGAGTTGTGGTCCAAATGCCACCATGCTGGGGAAGGCTGTGATATACCACAAAGTCCTAATATCCAATAGGATACTGCTGTTTTGAATCTTTAGAGCTGGAGCAGGCAACTTGCAGTCCTCCAGATATTCTGTCCTTTAACTTCCATCATCCCTAACATGCATAGCCAAAAGTGGGATGATGGGAGTGATGGCTGTCTGGCCTACAAACTTCCCATCCTTGAGTTACAGCACTGCCACAGAAGAAACCTCAGTTCATTTCATCTGAGAAATGAAAGGGCAATGATGAGTACTGGTGTTGTACAGTAGCGGCTGGTACACTGGACCAGTGGGACCTAGAATGAAAGCTCTGCTCAGCTAAGCTCCATTTAACCCTGGGCAAATCATGGTCTCTCAGCCCAGCCTTCCTCATATGATAGTTGGGAGGAAAACTACATACTTTCTCATGTGCAATGCATGCTGTCCTGAGCATCCTGCAAAGGGGTTGCAATAAAAATAAGATAGGGATGCTTCCGTTTGTTCTCAGTCTTAATTTGTGGAGGGCAGAAATAGCTTTAATTTTATTCTTGGTTTATATTAGTTCTTAAAGGTGGCATTGCAGTACTTTAAATAAATAGAACTTTCCAAAAGGACAATTCTGAAACAAGTACAGTGGTACCTTGGCTCACAAACTTAATCCGTTCCAAGACTCTGGTCATGACCCAAATTGGTCATGAGCCAAGTTAAATTTCCCCATAAGGTTAAATGTAAATAAGGCTAATCTGTTCTATAACTGTTTTTTTTTTTTTGAATCAGAAAACTAACTGCAAAGCGAAGTGACAAAGAACAACAAAGATCGCGGCCAACTCCCCCCCACCCCAAGCACGAGTGTGGCCATCTCCCCCCCCACCCCCCCCCCCCACCACCCCCCCCCTGCCCCCCATTCCCCCCCCCCCCCCCCACCCCCCCGGGGCGGGGGGGGGGGAAAAAGAGGAAAAAACCCCGGGGGGGGGGGGGGGAGATGGCCAAGATTGTGGTTGCACTCCTACAGGAAAGACAGGCACAATCACAGGTGCACTCCTGCAGGAAAGACGGGTGCGATCTCGGCCATCTCCCCCCTGCCCGCAGCACGATCACAGCCATCTCCCCTCTCAGGGGGTGGGGAGACAGCCACGACCGTGGTCACCACTCAATACAGAGTTCACAACCCAAGTTAAAATTTTTATGAAATTTTTGTTCGCGATCCGATTTGGTCATGAACTGAGGTGTTCGTGAACTGAGGTACCACTGTAATGTCTAAATTGAAATCAGTAGCTCTTCCTTTTTGCATTTGTTTTATACATTTAAAAAGACACCCAGAATAAAAAAGAGAAGCTTACCAAGAACACTAATGCCAAGGCCTTTATAATCCACCAAATCTTTCTGGGCTTCTAACAGTACCTACAAAGGAAATTAATTCAACATGATTGGGTACATGTCCATGGAAATCATATACATTCCAAATACACAGAAACAGTGCAAGTCAGAAGGGGTCTCCCGGGCCATCTAGTCTGGCCCCCCGCTCCAGCCAGATCTGCTCACGGCATGCCTAACATGTGCATAAGAACATAGAAACAGAGCAGAAACTTAGAAACAGAACAAGAAACAGAACATGAAATGATGTATTAGCAAATTTCCTGTATCCAACTTAGCTTTTTCCTTGCAGTGATATACAAGCTTTCTGGAACAAGGAATGAGTCTCATCTCCCAAAAGGTTTTGGACAATATTTTCATTAGTTTTAGGGAGCAATCCTATACCTGTTTAGACAGGAAAAAGTCCTAGGACCCCAGCAGTCCAGCTTAACATCCCAGCATGGCCAGGTGGGGGATGCTGAGAGTTCTAGGACATCTTTCATCTTTAATCATTTAGGTTATCTGAAAATGACAAGAGAAGATACTTCGAGGTCTGGATTTTAAAAACTCTATCTAGCAGTGCTATTATTTTTCCAGTCAACCACTAAAAATAAAAGCATTTTTACACAGCCAATAGTACCTATCTATTTAGTTTCAACATCAAATTTAACACCATGCTGAGGGACACAAATAAGACACTGGCATAGAAACCTTTACAACAAATATCTAAACAAATATAGGATGCCATTAATAAAAAGGGCTTGTCTAGGGAAATTGTTACAATAAGATCCTAATGCAAACAAATCTTAAAAATCAAACCACAATTATGTTCAACAGTACTTGAAATGAAAAACTGCTTAAGCATCAGGTCTTGTGGAAAGTTGAGAAACTTGATGTATCTTGCAGGGGCCACACCTCTGCCAAATGTGACTGGATCAAGAGAGTTGCTGATGCAACTTTCTGAACAGATGAGTCTATACCCTACAAGTTATTGTTTATCTTCCCTAAAATCTATTCCTCCAGTCAGCAAGAAGCTGCCTGAAATTAAACTAGCATATCTACAAACTATCTTCTGTCCTACATGTTCACAAAGGATTGTTTTCAGTAAGGGAAAACAAAGGATTCTTTTAAATTGTAGCCCTGTGAATGTACTAATTAAAGGGATAAGAATGGTAAGGAGCGAGATAAACAAATAATCACAACCCAACCCATCCCCCAGCCTTCAGAACCCAACCCACCCCCCAGCTTTCATAAACTTTCCTTTACTCAACTTGACAAACAAGTAACTAATTCTTTCTCCTCACAACTCTTGGGGCAGTGCTGGGCTGGTTAGAGCTTTTCCCAGATTTTTCATAGCTGGGAAACACAAAAGAAGTAAACATGCATTTCTCATAAAACCATGAAGCATTCCCATCGAACAATAAGCTTTGATCTATCAGCTCACCAGAACTACCTTCCTAAAATTAAAACACACACACAAATAACCGGTCTCAAGAGTGACATGAAATTAACATCCGTAGCCAGCTGGAGATTTCGCAGCTCAGGTGAGAGATCTGCCACCTTCAAAGAGAGAGAGAATCCAATGTCCTTTAAACAAGGACAACAAACGCCGAAAATGTGCTGTGATCATCGGAGACTAGGCAGGAGGTTTGGGAGATAAAGAGGGAGGGGTGCCGGGAAGAGAAAAGACCCTGCAATGCAGACATTCACTTGGACAGATGTTCCCGAACGCCCTTGAAAGAGGCATTTCCCGACCTCATCCTTCTTAAGATCTTGCTCTCCCAAGTGCAAACGCTCCTTCTTCACTGGAAACTCTTTTCGAGATCTCGCTGCATTTTTGCAGCTTTAAGAAAGACAATATTCCTGCGGCATACCAAGTAAGCAGTGGTTTTAAGCCAAAATTTAACGGAAAAAAGGAAAGAATCAAGCTAGTACTAAAACGCCAGCATGTGTTGTTCACCTGGCAAAGCGCCACCACCACAACGCTAAAGGACGTTCTATTAAGTATATCACATGTTGCAGGCTTTCAAAAGGCTGCATTCTTACTACTAAAATCCTCTTTTGTCTCAAGTTGTTGACAACTTTCCTTAGAAAGAAAGTTCTCCTCTGCTCTTAAAAACAACAGGGTTGCAAATGTGAAAGAGGCGCTTTTTCCACCATACTATGGACCATAGTTGTTCCATTTCTTCTATTAACAGCATCCGAGAAATGAACACCTTGTGCAATAGCACTTTTATCGCGATTTGATTTACGAACTCTCCCTTTGATCTCTACAACTCTTACGGCCCCGATGAAGGGCAGAGAGCACCAAGAAGCACCGCCGGCCGATGCAGTCACGGCTATTACCTGAAGGTCAATCCAAACGAATAATGTTGGATACCACGCTTACTTGGCAGAAAATTCCACTTAAACCGTCTGATAGCACAATATTGTACATGCCTACTCGGAAGCAAGCCCTACCGCGTTCAGTGAGGCGTACTCCCAGTAAGTCGGTACTGCCACCACTGTACGACTTATTTCCGAATAATAATACATGGATAAGAAATGCATTACACACCATTTCTTGAAAAAGAAGTCCTACAGGATTTGCACAAAACACCGTTGGGAACGCAGCATAAACTATCCCATGCAAAATCAAGCTACAGAGCACTTACTGATCGGGGCAGCTTAGCAGGTCCTGCACCGAAGTTGGCCACGTGCTTTTTGGCGTCCATTGCTCCGAAAGAATGTACAGCTCTCTCCCCCAGCTACTTTCTGGACCAGAATACGGCGCCGCTTCCCCAGATATTCCGAACGTGGCGGCTCACTCAACCATGACAACACTCCAGGGTGCCTCTTTCCAATTGGTTCTTAGTGCACTGGCATCGTAATTGCTTCGCGCCGATTGGTCAAGCTCTTCCAACTGGCCTACTCATTGGCCCGGATGGCCACGAGTAAGCGGCGTGATCGCCCCAGTAAAGGAGTGCAAGGCAGAAGGGGAATTGCAACATTCGGTGGAGCTGGAGCGGCGGATTGAAGTTGGCAAGTCAGAACAGCCTTGGACACGCTCCTGAATCACGGCCCTTTGCCAGCTGGGTGCGCTTAAGGTGTCCTTGGCTCTTGTTCTTGGGGTGGCAGTCATGTTCGTGTTATAGCATGTTAATAGGAAATACACAGTACTAGAAGAGAAATAGCAGGATGCCCTTTGGTTATAGGGTGGGTAAACAGGAATTGTGGGATCCCATGCTGCTGCATACCATGGGAAGTCTCATTCCAGGAATTTAAACAAATTAGGTGCATGGAGGCCCTTGTGCTGATAGAAGTAATTTACTGCAACGCAGTTGAATTCGAGGATTGTGCAAAGGCAAATAATAGCTCCCACTAAAAGAATGGGCAAGAATCCAGTAGGAATGCGTTAAAAGCTGGAACACTGGGCTGCGTTTAAACGAAGAGATAATTCCCTGCTTCCCACGTCACCTAGGCAACTGGTAAAGTCCTGTCCTTCTCTGTTGTGTGGAGTGGGGATTGTGCGTAGCAGTCAAAGCTGTTAATTTAGTGGGGCACTGATACAGGGCTTGTCCTGGGAAATTAGTGTTCAGATTCCCAACCATCTGTGAAGCTCACTGCTGTGCAGCTTTGGCCCATTCACTCTTTTTCAGTTAAACATTTATTTAACAAGAGGGAAGTGCAACGGAGGAAGCGGCATCTGACTAGTCAGGGTTTTCAGGCAGGAGTTTTACTTGTCTTACCTGGGGATGTGAGAGACTGAACCCGGAACCTTCTATAAGGAAAGCAGATCCTCTTTTGCTCTGCCTACCTTACCTCTCTCAAGGAGGGCTCTCTGAGGAGGACCTCCCTGAATGATCTAGTGTCCAGGCAGACTCATATGGAAGGAAACATCTCCTTAGATAACCAGGCCTTAAACTTTTTAAGGCTTTATATGTTACTGTTAATACCTTAAATTGGGCCCCAACTTCAATCAGTAGCCAGTGTAGCTTATATAGGACCAGTGTGATGTGTTCTCATCCACCGGTCCCTGTCAGCAGTCTGGCAGCTCTGTTCTGAACCAGTTGCAATGTCCAGCTCATCTTCAAGGGCAGCCCATGTAGAGCACATTACAATAGTCCTAACTGGAGGTTACCAGTGCATTAGCTACTGTTGCTAGGCCCTGTCCCTCCAGGTAAGGATGCAGCTGATGTTTCAGCCTCAGCTGAAGGAAAGCCCTCCTTCCTGCAGATGCCACCTGGAATTCCAGGGCACCTTCAAGGCCATATGGCCTGAAGGGGTTAGACAAATTTTCCAGTGGTAAAGGAAAACAAAAAGAAAACAATAAAACGTTTGAATAAAACCACAGCATGATTCAGTAATCATGGTCCAAAAAAGGTTCTCTAAGGCAATGACAATTGTAATCAAGGGAATAAGCCACTAGGGATATTAGAGGGAGGGTTTCTGCCAAAAATTCCTCAGCTTATCGAAGTTTCCTGAAGCAGGCCCCAGGCAGGTGCACAGTCCATCTGTGTGAATGCATGGAGGTCAAGAACAACTTTGCAGAAGTCTGCCTTGAAAGTGCTTAAAAAGGCAGTAGCTCTAATGTGGTTTTTAAGAGTAGGATTGTATGGATGATTCTAAAACAACCAGTGAACTGTTGCTGCTTTCTTGCTATACCCCCTGCCCCAGCAACACATCCATTGTAATGCAGCTCCATATGCAACTGCTTTGCAGCACAGTAATTCCTGAACTAGAAGTACTGTGTGGATATGCAATACTGATTTGTTACTACAGCTGTCTCTGGTACAACAATCTTCCATTTGTTACATTCTGTTTAAACCATAACTGCAATAGTACAAAAGTCTATGGCCCAGTGTATGCATATACCACAATGCTATAGTTGCCTGCAACCTTACAAGCATGAAATTTGGCAGCATTGAGCTGCAAACTGTTAGACATTATCTTTTGCTTTTAGATTAACAAATGCATTCATATGGTCTGTGGAAAAATTACAGAACAGTCAAGAATTTCTGTACTTGCTCCTGGATTTGATCTGATTCTTTTCTGACAAGAAAAACTGACATGTTTTGACACAGCTGGATTGCCAAGCAGGCTATCAAGGCTCATGAATTTCATAATGCTACATTAGTGCAGTCTACAAATTATTTCCCTAAAGTTTAGCAGTTAAAAGGATCCTTTCTAGGGGCCATGATCTTTGCAACATGGTGCAATTATTTATGATGGTGATGGTGCTGAAAGAAAAAAATAGAATATGAATTATGTGTGTGTGCTGATTTTTACAACAAATACATTTGAGAAGTCTGCCGTGACCCCATGATCCAACTAGATTTCAAATAGAAAACATGGGGGGGGGGGAATGAGAATTACTAGTCGAAGGACCTAGAGATACAGGGACTTGGCCTATTCTATAATTCGTTGTCTGTCACGTGTAAATACAAAGATTTTCTGCAGTGAGTAAAAAGATAGAAGTAGTAGTAAAAAAAATGGAAGTGGAAAATGATAGTGTCTGTATGCCCTTGAAAATTTTGCAAATGAGATTGAGCACAATAATTGGACCAATGGTTTAACTTAGTTAAGGCAGTTACTTAAATTCACCCTGTCAGAAAACCAATTATTTCCACATTTGCCTCATTGAGAAGGGGCTGGAAATCAGGATATGAAATACTCTTTCAGTGTTATATTGGGAAACTGTAGGGAAGCTCATTTATTACTTCAGACTAGAGTACACTTTACTCAAAGAAACAACTAATATAATACCTCACTGAAAGCCATGCGGTAGATGGAGGAAGCTACTGAATTTTAAGAATATGAATTGCCCTCACAGCACATTCTACACATTATGAAATGAGCAAACTAACGTCATGTATGAAGGACAGACTTTCATCAGGAAGCTGGCAAGAGTAATGAAATTACTACAGAAGATTTTCTAGAAGGACCAAGAGACCAGTGCCTCATGTGGAAGAATTGCAGAATGATTCTGTTTGCAGAAGAATTGCATTTTACTGAGAAACTGTCCCAAGTAGCCAACCTAAGCAAATACCTCAAACTTACATCATCAGTAAGTGCACAAAACTTGTAAAATTACAACTCCAGGTAATAGGCAATACAAGGCATTGTGATAAATTATGCAACAAAAAGGTCAGTGTATTGATTTTAAACTTTTGCCATCTCCAGCAAAAAGTACTCAAAAGTAAATCATTAACCATCATGAATAGGGTTGGGATTTTTTTTTAATGATAACACAACTATAATGATACTTTTTATGCTCTTCCATAACCATATACTTTGTGCCTGCACTTTTTAACACAAAAGAGATGTTTTATTTTTGTAAAAACAGAAAAGCCTTAGATAAAGGCCAAACCGTTGTTGCTAGCGTGCAATTCATCTAAATCATGGGTCCTCAAACTACGGCACGCCATGTCCATTTATTCAGCCCGCCTCAGAGGTTTTGAACTCACTTGGAGAAAACGATCTCCAAGCGAGCCCAAAAGCTCTGAGCAGGCACAGACGTACTTTAAAACTGAGCAGAGAGAGAGCTGGTACATGCGCCAAATTGCAACAGCTCAACTGTGTGTGTGCTGGCTCTCCCCACCCCCCCACCATTGCACGCATATACAGAGTGGGAATATGGAGCGGAAAACAGGAGAGAGGCAGGTGGAAGAGAGAGAGAAATGAAAACAAAGAAACTAAAAAAGGATTGAAGGTAAGAAAAATACCTTTTTTAAATCTATTTTTAATTATGCAAGCCCGGGGGCGGCCAGGCCGTGCAGCCTTCTCTGAGGGATCAAGCTGCTCCCGCCTTGCTGCCCCCAGACCCGCTGCTGCCTCTGCCTCACCGAGCCCACCGCCTTGCCACCCCTGAGCCAGCGGCTGCCGCCGCCTAACTGCCCCTGGGCCCACCACCCACCACTGCCACCTCATTGAGCCCGGAGCGGACAGGCTGAGGTAGAGTGACTTGCTCGAAGAAAGCCACGGGGCTCCCACACCTCCGCCGCGGCCTTCTCCAAGCAAGCGATCAAACATTTTTAATTGATTTTTTAAATGTTAATTAATTTTAAATTACTTTAATTTAATTAATTTTTAATGTGCAGTTCAGCCCCCCAACTGTCTGAGGGACAGTGAATTGGCCTCCTGTTGAAAAAGTTTAAGGACTCTTGATCTAAATTAACTTCCTCGATACCATTTAGTCAAGAATGAAGTATTATAAAATATTCTGCCATTGAGTTATTCTTGACCTATGAGCTCTCTGTGGGAAACAAATTCAGTATTTTTAATTTTCCATCAATTCGGTTTTAATGACAAAGATCATTCTTTTTTTTTTAAGTAGGGTGGATAAAAAGAGAGTCCGCTGGGAGTGCAAAAATCGGAGCATTTACAGTTTATTTGGGCATGCAGGAAATTCATACTGCATGTAGGTAGCTCCTGAAGGGATTACAAAGATGGAGTCTGTACAAGATGCTTTTATATCCTATCAGTTATATATACAGTTTGGAGGAGAGGTGGGGGATCACTTACACAGGATACTAGAGGCACATTAGAATAAAACAAACAGAATTAAGACAATACCAAGAGAGAACTTCCAGGACAGGTAAACAATTAGCAACTCTTAAAAGGATATTTATTTATTTATCTATCTAAAAAATTTCTATGCTGCCCCCATCGCAACAAAGCCTCGGGGCATCTCACAACCAAAACAAAAACAAACAAAATCATATAAAAATTTATACACTAAAAATATTAAAACCCGGTGCATCTCAGCTTAATTTTTTTTAATCCTCCATGATAAATTAACACTTAAAATAA